ATAGAAACGCATTAAAATGCGATTAATGTGTTCCTTTGGGCTAAAAACTAACCTTTAAGTGAAGATCCTCCATAGGGGCGGCCATTTTCAGTGCCTCTAAAGCGAGGAAACACAGTGGGTGGCCATTTTGTTTTCCCGGTGGCCATTTTGAAACCGCCGATCAGCTGTTAAAAAAAGGGTCGCTTTGCCATGATCGCTTCCCCGCAATCATCGCAAAGCGAAAAAAACCCATAGGGACCATCACAAAGCGATCGCTTTTGCAATCACAAAAACTCTGTCACTAAGCGATTTCATCACTCAACAGAGCGATCGCTAAGCGAGGCACCACTGTATATGAAGATATTCAATGTATCTTCATATTCTTACTAATACTAGAGACTCTTGCTACCTGAGCTGAGTATGCCTCATCCTATTGTTCTGGCAGTATTTGTACTAAACCTAGAGGAGGCATTGCCCCTAGTATAACCATGGTGGTATATGATAAGAACATAAAGGGAAAGTTTTCCAATAATTGTTCTTAGCATTTGCTTATTACATGTCAACTTTTCAAGTAATTTTGACAAGATCAGGTCATTCATCACCATCATCTTAGAACTGCGGAGCTGGAAGAGACCCCATAGATCACCAAGTCCAGCCTACTTTTTTAAGCCCTGAAAGCGTTTTTATGGTGCTGTGCCTGAAGTTAAGCAAATACTAACTTGCCTACATCCATAGCCAATTGATGGGTAATGTGAAATTTGAGTTGGAGATATATTAGCAGTAGAAATAAGTTCTGGCCTTAATGGGATTCCAGTGCTTTATTTTGTACCTTAGCAAAGCCATCCCTAAAACACTCTAGTTTTATGGAAGGTCCCTGAAATGTGATGGATGAGTTTGGATGCAATTTATACCTTAATCCCATTCCCCATGTCCTCTTTGCTTTGCTTCCTTGCAGTCATTCAGACAGGTGATGTTCTTTTCTTTCTGGTTTCAATCTCTTAAAGCAAGACCAATTTAAGACTGCCATGGCTGCTATAAGGCACTGTCTGTGTTTCAAACTGGCATCTTGCTGACGTGTCCCTCAGATTCTGGTTTCCTCCTGGCTGAGGAAATGCAGTCACTTGTCATCAATTTGCTGTGTCACTGTTGGCTGGCTCCATGAGGCACAGAGAGATACTAGTTAATTTAAGCTCGGCATACGGTGAAGCAGCCGGGCGCTGTCAAAACGGATGCTCATTCATTGAACTTGTGAGGGAAGGGGATTGCAGTAACTGCAGGAATGGAAGCAGTTGTTTGTGCTGCAGAAGGGTAAGAGCTGGGTTGTTGGTGGAGATGCAGGAACCCAGGCTCTTCTCCCATCTGTCTTTTGCCTTTAGGAGCCAAAAATAAATAAAGTCCTTGTGGAGAGATTTAAACAGAGAGTGTATAAAGCAGCTGGCTTTCATGTAGGATAGTAGATTCCTTCGAGAAAGGTTCTTCCACTTCTTTAATGATAATTTTGTGATAGTGGGCTGCTTCGTTTTTCTTTTTCACATCTTGATGTTTCCACTCATTCGCAACCTTACTGAAAGGTAGTTGGTGATCAATTGAAAGACCACCCAACAAACAGCAACAGAGCATGGACAGAGTTCCTACTCCTGTCCCTCTGAAGATTCCGGCCACAGAGACTGGTGAAACATCAGGAAGAACAACCTTCAGAACACAGCCAAAAAGCCCGAAAAACCCACGACAACCATCAGATCCCGGCTGGGAAAGCCTTCGAGAATAAATTGAAAGACCGTTGGCCCACTTCTAGTGAACTGTCCAGTGTCTGCTAAGTTTACTGCAAAGAAGATTCACAATGAGATTGGGGTGGTGGAGATGGGAGAACTAGATATAAAATCAACTGATTTGCTTATGATATTGCTCTGTGTTTTATATTTTGTACTTTGTATACAAAGTACTTTCTAGTTAGATTTTGAATCCTGACTAGAGCAAGAGGCTGGGTTTAGTGACCTTATCTGCCCCTTCCAACTCCATGATTCTGTGGTTCTGTGATCTGACCCTGTAGTAGTCTTCACGTTCTGAAGCAAGTCTGCCCAATCAGGGCCACCGGAAAACATTAATAGAGTCTGAGGTGATACTCTTGCTTTGCATGCTTTAAAGTGTACAGATATAGAGATTTTGATCTAAAGAAAAAGTACGCTGAACAAGACTGACATTGCCCTATTCTTGGGCTGAATTATGTCATCTGTGTGAACTTACCCATCTGTATAAAATTTCTGCCATTGTTGTGGAGCCTTTGGCCCTGGAGATGACTTACCGTAAAACTTCCATCCACTGTAGCCAGTACAGCCAGTAGTACAGCATTGTGAGAGATGCAAGCAAAATAATCTGAAGGGTGAAGAATTTCTCACACCACTGGTTTCTTCATTGTAGGACCCAGGGGATTTTCCTCATTTGTGTGGTGTTAACGGAGTTATAACTACATATAACTTTATGTGATTAGCTATTTGAACTGCAAGCCTGGGCTATAACTCCTAGAAAATAACTTCTGTAGCCTGTATAGTATGATCAATAACTTTATCCATGGGATTCATTCTCCTTGGTCGACTCTAGATAATCTCGTTTCTTGCTAAGCCCCTGTCGAAATCTGTCCATTGGGTGGTGTTGGAGAGCACTTTAAATCCATAAATAGATCTGATGATACCACCTCCTACTTTCAAAGTAGTGGTGGGGCCCTGTGCTTGGAATTTCCAAGTGATCTAACTTCTGCCACCTAAGACTGACTGTTTCACCACTGACTCATTCCCAGCCCCTCCCTAGCTAGTTGTGTCTGTTACTTTCAATTCCTTCTGTAGCAACTTGGAACAGTCTCTCATGAGGTCATCTGGTTCAGGTAGGTTGACTCCCAGCTTCATAGGGATGGTAGAGTGAGGCAGATTTTACACAGAAGTTTGACTGTTCCAAAATATAGAAGATTTCCATCTCATCATTGCTCTGTAAAAGACAGGAAACTTGGAACTAACAGTGTTTCTTTGACCTTTAGACTAGCTGTGAAGAGGTGGTATCTTTCTGATGTATACTTCATTTGTTAGCCTGGAGCCTCCTGAAGTGACATTCTGGGACACCAGTGCTTCTGAAAGAGTTCTCTCTTTCAGGTTTTCCTGGCGCTACTGTAGGTTAACTATTATGACTTAGTTGTTTAGTATAGCAGTAAAGTAATCCAAGATTCCTGTTAGAGGTAGACCCTTCTGTGTCACCTAAGAGGCTGTTGACATCAATACTGCCTTCAAATGAAGAGGCCTTATGATCTTTTTATCAGGAGAAGCCTTCATGAAGGGCATGATTCTTCATTTGGTATAATTTCTGAAGAATTCCAGAGAAACCTGGAACTGTAGCCATTACCTTTGTGGCTCCAGAATTATAAAGCATCAGGGGGCTTAGATTTGGGGTTCCAAAATGGACAGGATAATGGTTTAAAATTTTAGATAGTGATGGGGGAAGGTTGGATGGAAGTGCTATCTCGCTGTTGGAGAGATTAGAGATAAAGATCCAGACATTCAGAGATGGGGGTTACATCTTAAAGAACAGTGGTAAAATCCTATGCTTACACAAGGGAAGGAGAATATGTGACCAACCCAGTGTTTCTAGAAGATTCGTTAAAGCTTTCAGTTTGATTGGCCAAAGGGGCTTAGTATAAACAACCATTCATTCAGGGTATAAACTTAGCTGTTTCACTGAATTAAGAGTTTTCTCTCCGACTTGAGAGATCCATATTTGGCAGTTCATCCTGCTAAGCTGTTGGTTAAATCTCTGCATGTGCTCAGAAACTTTGCTAGATGATTCAGTGTTAGGATAGATGAAGGTAATTTTTCTTATTTTCTTGTGTGGGTGATCTTTGTGATCAAGTGTGTTTTACTCAAATTGGCTGGTTAATTCTAAATTGCTTTTATGCTCTTCTAATCAGGTGGGGGTTTTTTGTTTCTGTTTTTAATTTATATATATAATATTTAATCAAGAAGCAGACCAAGTGCTGTCCACTTGGTCTGCTTCTTGGTTAAACTGGGAAAGCGGGGGGACTTGGTTCTGAATTCTATAATCCTTAGACTGGGGAACTGGTTACACTTCTATTCCTAACAATTTTGCTCTTTGGTTAGGTCCTGCCTTGTAAGACAGGCATTCATCTCATATTTACAGAGTTACTGGATTTGTAACCCTGGAGTGAGGGATACACGTGCTAGTAATTTCTGGGGCTTCTGAGTGTCATTGGGCTGAGAACTCACAAGGCAATTAGACAGATTCAAGAGAATGGAGATTTTGCCCACCTTGAGGCCCTTTGTGGTGGCAGCATACCAGATTCAGGGAACACCCAGAGGACTTCAGTGTGAGTCCTTTGGGGTCTCCTTCTGTGACAGTATCCTTATTGGAATTGTCTTCTCCATCCACCCCCCAATATTCTGCATGTGAAAGGGCAAAATTATATAAAGTGGTGCCTCGCTTAATGGGCGCTCCGTTTGATGACGAAATCGCTAGACGTCGATGATTTTGCGATCGCAAAACAATGTTCCCTAAGGGGGAATTTCGCTTTGCGATGATCGGTTCCCTGCTTCGGGAACCAATCATCGCAAAGCGATCATTTTCGGCCAGCTGATCGGCGGTTTCAGAATGGCCACCAGGTAAACAAAATGGCCGCCCGTTCTTTTCTGGCATGGATTTCTTGCTGCACAGGCAGCGAAAATGGCCGTGCTATGGAGGATATTCACTGGACAGTGCGTTTCAAGCCCCTAGAAACGCATTAATTGGGTTTTAATGCGTTTCTATGGGCTTTTTAAAATCGCATTACGACGTTTTCGTCTTACAGCGATTTCGCTGGAACGAATTAATGTCGTAAGGCGAGGCCCCACTGTAGTTAGTTAGTGTCAGAATCCTGCCACAAGATAAGCAGATCATGGGCCTGTGTGGCCAGGCTATATGTTCTCACAGGCTCCAGACCAAACTCTCTGTTCTTACCATTGTATTTTTCCCAATGCTGTGCTCAGATGTCCAGCTCGCCGTTGTCCAAGAAGCGTCGCTTGTCTGAATCAGAGACGAAGACGGGTTCAAACTGCTCCTCTGGCAAATCGATACAGACTGATCTGCGCGAAGCGCCTGCCAACGTAAGACTCAGGGCTGACTTATGGATCCTGTTTTATGTATATGGAAAACAAGTCAATTCCAGCAAAACTGACTCTGGATTCCCTGTTGCTAGGGAACACAAGATGGAGGGTTCACTTATGTTTACTGGTGGGCTTTCTACAGGTCCCTGGCTGACCACTGCATAAAACGTGTTGGATGAGATAGTCCTTTGTTTTGCTCCAGCACTCATCTTATCTACTTAGATGCCAACTCAGATATAATAATAAATTAATAATGTGCCCTGAAGTTGATTCTAACGTGGGAAGTCTCCCAGTGTTTTCTAGGTATAAAGTACTCACATACGGTTTACCAGTCCCTCCTCCTGGAGGACTGAGGACCTGTGCATCTCACGCAAGGCTACACAGGCAGCAGGACATGTGACCCCATCAGCCATACATGCTCCAGATGATCTACCAACTCTCGGCCCCTGCACCTATGTATTCCAACCCACTGAGCTACACCAGCTGAACCCATATAAGGGGCCTTTATTTTATTATTGGTAAAGCATCTGTTGTGCTGATGAGTAAGGGAGAAGGAAGATTTGAAGTGTAGTTCTGCACTGTCTTTTCAGTCCATCTTCTGGCTGGATATTTCGAGATGCAGCATTTTCCCCCGTAGGAAAGAATGGCAGCTGTGCAGCTCATCATATGTTGCCACATCATTCCAACTTAGGCAACTCTCACAATGTTTTAAGATGTGTGGGATATTCAAGGAATTGCCTACTGCTTCCTTCCCCAGTGAGTTTCCATAGCCAAGTGGGGCCTGAACACAGGTTTCCTGAATCTTAGTCTGACATTGTCCACTACACCACACTGTTTCAGCCATTCAGTTACATCAGAGGACATTGAGGAAGGGACATAGAAACACTATTGGGATGCAGACTGAATCAGCTTGTAAGGTCAAGTGTGGTGAATATGAGGCCGCTTAGATGTTGTAGGGCTGCAACTCCCATGGTCCCCTACCATTTGTTATGCTGAGTAGAGTTGATGGAAGATGCAGCCCAACAATATATGATGGGCTGCTTATTCCTCTGTTAGGCCATAGGCTTTGCTCCATAGCTCCATCAGGCATGATGCTTACAGCCCTCACTATATAACTTTGTGGGAAGCATAGAGATTCCAACTGCTGACAGATGCTCAAGGTGACTTTCATAAAGTCAGTGCAAGAATTTACACTCCCATAGATACACTGCAGCTACTTAGTAATCAGCAGTGTGGGTATGTGGGAAACCTATGCCAAATAGCCGGATTCCCTGACTGCCAACACCTCTTTGGGGCCTTCCATTATGTTTAGAGTAAAGCCGTTAGTGTAGCCCAGCGTTACTGCCTTTAATCCCAAGCTTTTTATGAACAGGATTTCCGACTTAATTACAGCGGATATTAACTATTTGTAGGCAATCGGCAGGCTAAATCTGCTTCTTCAATTATAATGGTATTGGTTGCACAACATTTAAGTTCTTTTGTTCCCAGCTCTAACTCACTTTGAGCTGGGAGGGCCTTAAATTATACAGCTGAAATGCAAGAATTTCATAATTGGGGTGACTTATGTGGATTTTCATGGACATACCATTTGTTGGTTCTGTTTGCTGAATAAGTTGGTTGGACATAGTTGAGCAGCAGATTTGCAGGTGGGGTGACTATGGTTAAGGGTTGTGAGTTACAGCATCCTTCCCTAACCATGGTTAGCCTTAGTTGGGCTCTTGCAGAAACTGGCTGTGCATGTTCATTATTTTTGCCTATTATGAGGCCTGAAAAAGCCACAATAAGTACAGTGGTGCCCCGCATAGCAAGGTTAATCCATTCTGGATTAACCGTCTCTATGGGGAAGCATCGCTATACGGAACGGAAAATGCCATAGAAACGCATTAAACTTAGTTTAATGCGTTCCTATGGCTCTTAAACTCACCGTTCTGCAAAGTTTCTCCATAGCGCCGCCATTTTTGGGCGCGAAAATGGTGCGGCTGGCCATTTTCTGCACCCGGCGGCCATTTTGGAACCACCGATCAGCTGTTCCCAAAATGGCCACCGGGTGCAGAAATGATCGCAATGCGATGTTTAGCCTATCTAAACATCGCAATGCGATCGCATTAGCGACCGCAAAAAACGGGTCGCTATGTGGATTCGTCGTTAAACGGTGAGCTCGTTAAGCGAGGCACCACTGTATTGCAATTCTATTGTCAGTGTTGCACACTTTTGTTGATATAATGAATAACCTGTGGAGTAAAGCTCCCCATCGTACTGTTAATAATCCCTCTTCTTGTTTCTTTTTTCCAGGGTATGGCCAAAAATGGAAGTGAAACAGACATTGATGAGGGTCTGTACTCAAGGCAGCTGTAAGTAGAGACTGTGGAGGGCTTACCATTTTGAATGTTAGTCATGCAATACTATTCTACTGTGGTTGGAAGAGGTTAGGTGGGATAAGCAGCAAGGTAGATTTGATTTAAATCACAATTTAAATTATGATTTAAAATTTGAAAAAAATTGACAATTTAAATAAAAAAAATTTAAAAAAATTGAAATCATGATTTTAATTATTTTTTTAAAGATTGATTTTTATCCACCATGATAAGCAGTGATGTTAGGTCTCCCCCATATTTTCCATGTCTCTCTTTTTAAATTATTGTTACCCGCTAATGGGGGTTATAAACTCCGGCGAAGGACAACAGACCACGATGCACCCGACCAGCTGTTATTTATGCCAATTTATTAAGATACACAGCTAGGGCCCAATCTCTTAAAGCAGATATTGATTCGAATCAGAATTATATAGGGTTTTACACAAAGGGGCCCAATCTCTTAAAGCAGATAATGATTCGAATCAGAATTATATAGGGTTTACACAAAGAGCCATAAAGAGAAGTATTACGATTGGTGCCTTGAACCCATACCTTTCAATCCTGCCTGTTATTGGCCAAAGATATTTTATAAGTTCAATCTATTGGTCCCGTTTGAATTTCTCATGTAGCACCTCGTCTCCCTTTAACCTAAAGGTCATCTTACACCCCAAAAAAGAGTCATCATGTCTACTCTGATCATGTCTGGATTTCCCTTATCTCTATTCGCATGTTTATGTAACATTATCATTAATGCTACGTGACACAACAGGGATCAAGAGAAGATACCAAAAAACCAAAAAACAAAAAAACCCAAACCACTTTAACAGCAGCAACAATAAAGCTTGACTTTTTCAGCATATAGATTCTTGTTCACTACTGGTTATCACTCTCTTCATAGTAGTTATCTTACATGCTGAGTTATCCAAATCCGTTGTTTTGAATTACTTTGTGTGAATTAGGGGCTTTTCTTTCTTAATCTTCTGTATACAGGTTATACATAAAGAAGGGATGCAAAAGTCCTGAAGACTTTCTATTCCCTTGCCTTTCCAACCCTTTTCCGTAAATTTTTCTAGCAGCACAAAGTTCCAAACCCGTGAACATAAGTCTTTGATGGTAGAATTTTGATTATCGATGGCCAATGTGTTCTCTAATTTTCTGCCAGCTCTGGGCCCCACCCCGCACACACAGGATTCTGGCCATCACCAGAGCCAAATGGGTTGCAACACTGGCTTGTGGATGTATAGCACCAATGAAGTGCTACATGACCGTACAGCTTAGAGAGAACATTGTGGCTCTTGAACTTTAGCCGTTTCTGAGATGCTCTGTGGAAACTGGGTTCTCAGCTAGAGGCCTAGTTTTCCAGCTGGGTAGTTAAGGCTCTGAAATTAACCTGCATGGTGCTCTATCACTTTTCCTGACCAGGTACGTTTTGGGCCATGAGGCCATGAAGCGAATGCAGAATGCTAATATTCTGGTATCTGGCTTGCGAGGACTGGGTGTGGAGATTGCCAAAAACATAATCCTGGGTGGAGTTAAATCTGTTACAATCCATGACCAGGGTGTGGCTGAGTGGTCTGACCTCTCTTCCCAGGTAAGGCCCCTTTCGTTGTTTCAGATGACTCTCCCGTGTGCATCCTCTTGTAGTTGTGCAGCTTGATATCCTCACCACTGTGTCTGAATCTCTCTTCAGTTCTACCTGCATGAAGAAGACTTAGGGAAGAATCGTGCTGAAGTATCCCAGCCACGACTGGCTGAGCTCAACTCCTATGTACCTGTTACTGCCTACACTGGGCCCCTCAGTGAGGATTTCCTTAGCAACTTTCAGGTACTTCAAAGCAGGATGGTAGTCTGATGAAAGTAGAGCTTTTTCACAGACAGGAAGAGAGTTTGGTCCATTTTTAAAAGAAAAGCTGAATAGCCGGACATTATTCCCTTGAATTAGACCAGGGGTCTGTTTAGTGGGGTTTTCTGGCTCCAGAAGTAGGCAGCAAGATGTTTCTGATAATGATCTCCATCCTTTGTTGTTTGTCCTTGACTTCTGTAATTCCAGGTTGTGAGTTTTCTGTAGGCTATATTTCACTGTCATGACTGAGAGCTATTGATTAATTTGTCTGATCTTAGAAAGCTAACTAAGTTAATGGCTATGTGTTTGCCCTTGTGGCTCCTGCTTGTCTTTCCCTCACAAAGACTCACGTCGTGTTTTCCTCTCGCTGCCACCAGTGGATTACCTCAATCCACAATATAAATGACGTTTGTCAGAACACTTGTCCTGTAGTTGACTTCCATTAATTTGTCTGATCTTAGAAAGCTAAGTTAATGGCTATGGTGTTTGCCCTTGTGGCCCCTGCTTGAATTTGTCTGATCTTAGAAAGCTAACTAAGTTAATGGCTATGTGTTTGCCCTTGTGGCTCCTGCTTGTCTTTCCCTCACAAAGACTCATGTTGTGTTTTCCTCTCGCTGCCACCAGTGGATTACCTTAATCCACAATATAAATGACGTTTGTCAGAACACTTGTCCTGTGAACAGAAACAGAACTTATTTATTGGAGTGAATTAGATTGAATACAGTAATAACAGAAGTTCTTCAGATACACGTTATACATAAGCAATTCATCAACCAGAGCACAGAGTGCTGTCCTCTGAAGATGCCGGCCACAGAGACTGGCGAAATATTAGGAAGAACAACCTTCAGAACACGGCCAAAGAGCCCGAAAAACCCACAACAACCAATTCATCAACAGTTCTCTCAATACATACTTCTTTTCTCTTGCTATATCATTACCACCTTCTCTACCTATTTTCTTTACCAGCCTTACCACTCAGTATCTGTTCCCTCCCTCTCTGGCTAACCAGCCCTGTCTCTGACTCCTCCCGCCAAGCCTCATGTAGCCGCTGACTCCACCTCTCCAGTCCTCTCATAGGTTCATGCAAATCAGCTCATGAATATAAATTGCATGAGTGACGTGGGCGATCGCCACAATGGCTATTGCTGCATATTGTAGCAGCGAATGCCGTTAAGCCAGTTCTGTGATGTATGAAGTACTTGGTTGTCAATCCAAAACTAATTATTAGGTGACTGCCAGTTAATGATTCTCTGCAATATTTAAGCATATGTCTGCCCCAGATGATGTAATGCCAGTATACCTGACTGTTTCTTTCCCAATCACATGGTGATTTCTAATATTGTCCTTGCCTTTATTGTTACTTCACTATGCAGAGTTGCCATTGTCATTTTGATTTCCTTTCTTCTCAAGACTTACTTTGCTAGTTTAGTTTCTGTCAGTGTATATAAAAACGTAACATTTATCCTTTTTAAAAATATTACTCTTGTGCATGTCACTTTATATGTAAATTTAATCTTTTCTTGACTTTTCATCTTTTCAACTTTCTTTGGAAAGTTCCTTGTTTGAATTCTCCATAGTTTCACCATTTTGAATAATTTGGTATTTTCTGGAGCCTGACTTCACTGTTGCTTGGGTCTAGATCACTTAAGAATAAAGTTAAATAAATATCCATTGTAGTCTGGTACTTGTGGGGCTTGCTGCTTGGTTTATTTCAGAGCTACAATCATAATTTTATTTCTGGTGTGCTGTATTCTGTTTGAATGCTTTCTGCTGGAGCTAGTCTAATCCTGAGGATGCATATAGTTCAAGAACCATCAAGCCACAGGAGTTAAAAGGTGAAAAGTTCCAAGAATAGAGAATGCATTAAAAACAAAATAGACCAAGATAGAACATATCAGTGTGGTGCGCAGACAAGTCTTGTTTGTTGTTCAAGTATACAGCTGTCTTAATTAGTGAATTAGGAATAAGTGTTTGTGATCCTTAATTTAACTCATTAGAGGGACATTTTCAGTCTCCTAGAACACTACTTAGGTAGTGCTTTCTCCCCTCTGCAGGTGGTTGTTCTCACCAACTGTCCCTTGGAGGAACAGCTGCGCATTGGTGATTTCTGCCATAGTCAAGACATCAAGCTGGTAGTGGCAGATACCAAGGGACTGTTTGGGTAAGAGGAATCCCTCATCTGTTCCTTATTTGTGATGCATCAACCAGTTGCCCTTACCTATGCCTGATTTCTCCACCATGAGTTGTGTTAGAAATGCCGTGCTCTGTCTGATAAAGTGTACCAGTCTTAGCAGACTCTTAATTTTTTTTTTCCTGGGCAAATTCTCACAGCTGGGAAATCACATGTATTTTTGGTTGTTGTAGGTTTTCGGGCTGTTTGGCTGTATTCTGGAGGTTTTTCTTTCTAACGTTTTGCCAGTCTCTGGTCGGCGGAGACTGGCGAATCGTTAGGAAGAAAAACCTCCAGAACACGGCCAAACAGCCCGAAAAACCTACAACAACCATCAGATCCTGGCCGTGAAAGCCTTCGAGAATACACATGTATTTTTCTTTGAAGGCATCTAGTACATATCTCCTACCCAACTCTGAACAAGTTGTGGATTATAAAAAGTGCTGCACTACAGGCCCCTCACCTTCTTTCTTCTCCATTACAGTCAGTTGTTCTGTGACTTTGGTAATGACATGGTTGTAACAGACACCAATGGAGAGCAACCACTCAGTGCCATGGTCTCCATGATTACAAAGGTAATGTTCTTCTGCATTTTTACAAGCAAGACTTGTGTCTCCTTTGATGAGTTACACACTGATGTCTACAATGTTTATTGCTGAGACTTTCCTCTCCTTGTATAGGGGTCCCCTGGAGAGGTAACCTGTCTAGATGAGGCTCGGCATGGTTTCGAGAGTGGAGACTATGTTTCCTTCACTGAAGTTGAGGGTATGACAGAGCTCAACAGCTGCGAACCTATGGAAATCAAAGTACTTGGTGAGACTGCAGTGTACCTCAACTAAATAGTATAGAATACTGCTTATTTCTCAGTATGATTTCTCTCTTGTGGCTGCACCTCTGGTAAGTGTACATGTCCATTTTTGTTATTTTTCAGGTCCCTACACGTTCAGCATTGGTGACACCTCCAACTTCTCAGACTACGTACGTGGTGGCATTGTCACCCAGGTCAAGATGCCAAAGAAAATTAGCTTTGTAAGTGTTGTTCTTAGCAGACTCTTAACTTTTTTTCCTGGGCAAAATTCTCATAGCTGGGAAATCACATGTATCTTTCTTTGAAGGCATCTAGCTCCAAGCCAGGATATCAGTAACTGTCACGTCCCCTTTCAGCCACACACAAGGGGAGATGTGAAGGGATCTTTATACATATTTTATCTCATTGACTTGATTCTCCTGAGTCATATAATAGTGCCTTATCATAATCAGGTGCATATTATCACAATGAATGGAACAGTTCTAAATTCCATAGTCTGTATAAACTGAAGCAGGGGTATCCATGGTCAGAAGTGGTGCTCACCTGCTTTTTAAGAGTTGCAGAAATTGTGGGAGGCATGTAATCCAGTCTTTCTCCTTTTCCAGAAATCTCTGCGTTCATCTCTGCCTGAACCAGAGTTCATCATCACCGACTTTGGCAAGTTTGACCGACCAGCGCAGCTGCACTTAGGATTCCAGAGCTTGCATGAATTCCACAAGAAGCATGGACGGTTTCCCAAGCCTCGCAATCAGGTAGATTGTTCAGAATTGGCCTTTATTCCCCGGTGGGTTTTGCATTTTGAGGCTTTCTCTAACTGTAACTAGGAAAAAAACACTCAGATTTTGTAATAAGCAGTTTTTCTAAGAAAAATGGGGATAATTTTTCTGTAACAAAGCTGTTCTTGAGTGAAGCTGAATTATATTGTTTTATTTTGACTATGAGGACCAAATTAGAGCTTATATTGGGTGTCACTTAGGAATTAATAGAGAGTTTTAAAAATGCATATAGAAGCTCTGTGTATGTTTTGGGGAAGATGAATGTACTTTCTCAAAGGCCTGACTCACTTTTATTGGAGGGTCATCTGTGCATGCCAGATACAACAAGGGTTCCAGTACTGGCATAGATCTATAAGGATTCCACTCAGTTCTCCCTAATGTCTAACCCACATGGTTGTGGGTGGGTGTTTGAAGTCAATTTAAAAGTACCTGCAGGAGACTTCAATAATTGCATTGGGAAACACTAATACTCAGCCTCCTGATCTTTGTTTTAAAAGGATGCAGGGAAGCATTTCATGCTTTTATGGCTGTAAAGGTAGGCTTAGAAGTGTGTGAGTAATGTCTGTTGAAATCTCCAATGCTGATTGATTTAAGTGCATGGGATAGCATTTCCTTATAGTCCATTGTCCCACTTCATGAGGAGCAAAACCAGAATTATGTAATGTAGTAAAAGACAATCACAGAGAATAAGAATGCTATCAAATTTATTCAGTTTTCACAGTTTTTCTAGATTTAGATCCTGGATTGACTAGATGCAGATTCAGACATAAGCACAAACATTGCCTTTTTGTCTCTGCTTGCCGTTTACCTCCTTTCAGCAAATAAATGTCAAATGCACAAAAACAGTATTAATTCTGAAATATTAAGGCTAAATCAGATGTAATGTTAAGTACAGTTTTGCTTCTTAACTTGTTAACAACCACTTCTTTTGTGAAGTCAGGGCTGTAATGCCTACATGAATAGTAGCAGAAAGGCAGACTCAGTCCCTTTCTTACTCTGCTGTACTTCTAATGAAAAATTGCCCCTCCAGAGCTGCTCTTAGATGGGAGTTGGTATTGTTCCCGCCTCCGCCCCCCTGGCTGATGTAAATACCAGCTTTTGGAGGAGCAGCTTTCTTCTGGATGTACAGCACTGTAGGAATAAGTTAAATTCTTCTTCCTTGCCTATTGAAACCTTCATATGTTATATTTTTTCCCTCATATGTTCCATCTCTCTTATGAGGCTCTTTCTTAGCCTTTGTCTGACTTTTTCCCTTCCTCATCAGGCAGATGCTAGTGAGGTGTTGGCTTTCACTAAGAATCTGAATGAACAAGCAGTGCCCTCACTCAAGCAAGAGCAGTTGAATGAGGACATAATCAAGGAACTGGCCTTCCAAGCCACTGGAGATCTAGCACCTGTCAATGCCTTTATTGGGGGACTGGCTGCACAAGAAGTCATGAAGGTGAGGACAGAGTAAAATCCAAAAATTCACACTAGAGTATTTGGAGTGCTGACTGGCCTGCCTGAAGTTCCTGTGCCCTGTAGTCAAGCCCTCCTACAGTTCGGGTGTGGGTCTTTGATATAGATTCCTCCCCTCTTCCAACCCAAGTAGATGGGGTGGTTGGATGTAGCTATGAAAGTAGTGAATCCTTGGGCTCTGTGATAGAGACTGGGCTAGGAATGGGCTTAACATTCAGAATCGGCCATCCCACGTCTTTAAACAAAACAATGGCCTTTGCGTAAATAAAGCTGAGCATTCAGGCACTAAAGCAAATAAAGTCTCTTTCCTTGTTTCCTTCCATTAGGCGTGTTCAGGTAAATTCATGCCTGTCACTCAGTGGCTGTACTTTGATGCCCTGGAGTGTCTGCCTGAGGACAACAAAGAGGCCCTCACCGAGGAGAATTGCAGCCCCGTAAGTAATCGGTGTAGGGTCTGAGATTCATGCCATGAACAGCAGAGGAAAGTGCTGCTCAGGACTGGTGGGGAGAAGTGTTTGTAGAGCAGGAAGGCCTTCAGTTAACATTAAGAAGCAAAGATAAGTAGGCCAAGATGTTTTAACCCCAGAAGAGCAGGGGACAGCTTGAGAAACAGTGGGCTTTATTACAGATGCATATATATTCATACACACTCAAATACATTGCAACTCTAATGCTGTGAAGTATTTCCATTTACTGTTCTGTCCATTGAGATGTGTTTTGTTGCCATGTTACAGGTGTGGAGAAGAATATTTGATTGATTTAATAATAGGCTGTATTACTCAGTATATGATGGACATAAGATTTAAGCTCTGGGTCACTGTCCCAGTGGGAAGGCCATTGTTGAGACTGAAAGAGCTTTAGGACAGCAGGAAGTTATAAATAGTATTTTATGTACAGAGGAACTTGGGTGAGTTATAGACAAAGGCATCCAAAAGTAGATAGAACACAGCGTCGAAACATATACAACAACTTAAAATAAATAAATATACTGTAACATTGACTGCTGTTTTGAGGGATTACATCAGACCTGGAAGGATGAAGAAATTTAGTCTTTAAGAAGAAGAGATAGTAAAAGTGTCATGTCTTTTCCCTCTTGACAGAAGAGCTGCCGCTATGATGGACAGATTGCTGTGTTTGGAAGTGACCTGCAAACTAAGCTGGGGCAGCAAAAATACTTTGTGGTAAGTCCTAACACCAGTTTTCTTTTTCACAATGTCTGCATTCAAACATCCTAGTAATACTTTTTTTTTGTTCTTAGGTTGGTGCTGGCGCCATTGGCTGTGAACTGCTCAAGAACTTTGCTATGATTGGACTAGGGTGTGGGCAAGGTGGAGAGGTGATTGTGACCGATATGGACACAATTGAAAAGTCCAATCTCAACCGACAGTTCCTTTTCCGGCCATGGGATGTTACGGTCAGTTCCATTTAGTGCGATTACTTTTTCTGCTAATTGGTCATATGTCGGCATGGAAGCATGAAGCCTTTTATAGCAACTTCTTGCGTATTTCCCTCTTGCTGAAAGTTTTGCTGGAAGTTGTTTTGGTTTGGCTTGATTTTTGGGAGACCTAAGCCCATTCATTAAGGATAAACCGAATAGAGAACAAAACAGTAATGGGGATGAGGCTAGGAGCCATTGTTTTGTGTTCTCCTTACTTACGTTGGGGGTGATGTCTCTTCTTGTCTACCCAGAAAATGAAATCTGATACAGCGGCAGCTGCTGTGAAGGAAATGAACCCAAACATTCACATCACAAGCCACCAAGATCGTGTGGGCCCAGACACTGAGCGTATTTATGATGATGACTTCTTTGAGAGCCTTGATGGAGTGGCAAATGCACTGGACAATGTGGATGCCAGTGAGTATCTCTGACGGTGGTTGTTTTGCCTACTGGAACACTAGACACACGTTTGGGGGTCAGGAAGAGGGGAAGCTGCAAAGCAAACCCATGCAACCTGACCTCTATGCCAAAGTGGTTCCCCTGTGACACAGTGGAGAGGAATGTGGTAAAATCTGGGGGCGGGGGTAGAAATGGCTAGTGAAGGAGTGCAGGAGTGCCAAGGCAAGGAAAAGTCACTTCTTCTTTAAACCAAACATGTTCATTGGGAGGCCCCATTACATGTACAGTGGTGCCTCGCTTAACGAGCGCACCGCATAACGATGAAATTGCATAGCGATCCGTTTTTTCGGATCGCTAATGCGATCGCTTAAGCCAAACATGTTCATTGGGAGGCCCCGTTGCATGTAATGGTTTGACTTTAAAGAGGCATAGATTGTGCAACTAGTTCAATTGCATAGCGATCCGTTTTTTCGGATCGCTAATGCGATCGCTTAACGTTTTTTGAATAGGGCTAAATTCGCTTTGCGAAGACCGGTAAGCGTTTCGCTTACCGATCTTCGCAAAACGAAGGCCGACGATCAGCTGTTCCGTGGCCTAAATGGCCGCCGGAAGCCCGGAAATAGCCCAAAATGGCCGCGCGCAGCGTTTTCGCGCCCTCGTTAAGCAAGGCGAGGGCGCGAAAATGGCTGCCGGCCACTACGAAGCTTCGTTGAACGGTGAGTATTTGGCCCATTTGGAACGCATTAAATGATGTTTAATGCGTTCCAATGGGTTTTTTTGATCCGTTCAACGATGCTTCAGCATAGCGAAGGTTAATCCGGAACGGATTAACCTCGCTATGCGAGGCACCACTGTAGTTTGACTTTAAAGAGGCATAGATTGTGCAACTACAGTAGTTCATATATCCACATCCTAGGTGTTCCCAAAATAAATATGCTCCAATCAGAGGTGAATGTTGAGAATGCCATGGCTTCACACACCTACAACATCATTGGTCTCAGTTTTGGCAAAAGGAGTTCCACTTCTCCTCAGATTGCTTTCAGTATCTACTGTTCTGGTCAACAGCGTTTCACTGTTCTTTTGTGTAATTCTTCTTTATGTATCCTTTACACTAGGGATGTACATGGACCGCCGCTGTGTCTATTACCGTAAGCCCCTGCTGGAGTCAGGGACATTGGGGACCAAAGGGAACATCCAGGTGGTGATCCCCTTCCTTACAGAGTCCTACAGCTCCAGCCAGGACCCACCAGAAAAATCCATCCCTATCTGCACCCTCAAGAACTTCCCCAATGCCATTGAACACACTCTGCAGGTCAGTTTGGCACTGGGCTGCATTTTTACTTTGAAGGCAGTAGCTGGGATGTGGTAAAGGCAAGAGATGACGGCTGGTCTTGGTTTCTTGGTGAAATGGCCTTGCTGCTAAAATGAGGAGGGCTTCCTTTTTGATATGTTAATTGAAACATACATGGAATGTACATCTGATTGCTGCTCCCTCTCCTCCTAAGTGGCAGAGTAGATCTCTCTGCCATTTCAGTGCAGCTGTTGGCATTTGTCAGTTCAGGTATCAGTTGCTAAGATTTTTTTACTGTGTCTAATACTGTAGTGCTCTGTTGTTTGATACCACTCCACCTGTGTCTGTTGTCCAAATGCCATTCTACTGTGTACTGTAAAAACTGTTCTGTTTATTTATTTATTTATTTATTTTACTATGTCTAATAGTGTTCTGTTGTTTGATACCACTCCACCTGTATCTGTTGTCCAAATGCCATTCTACTGTGTGCTGTAAAAATTGTTCTGTTGTCCTGTCTGTCTCATAGATGCAGTGCTATTATTGTTGTTGCTGTTTTTTTGTTTTGCCAGTGGGCCCGAGATGTTTAAGACCACTCTAGGTGTTGTCCTGTCTGCCTCATAGATGCAATGCTATTATTGTTGTTGCTGTTTTTTTTGTTTTGCCAGTGGGCCCGAGATGAATTTGAAGGCCTTTTCAAGCAGCCTGCAGAAAATGTCAACCAGTATATCACGTGAGTAAAATGTCACAGTGAGGATCTGCAACCAGGCAGGGCTAACTAAAGTCCCATTTCAGTGGAGTTTGGAGGTTGAAGCCTAGCTCTGCATTAGTAGAAGATGCAGCAGAGTTGATCTGACCAGTAATGTCCAGTCTAGGTTGATAGCCGCTAGTAAGCCTCAGACAGGTTCAGAAAGGTGACCAGGTACCTGGGGCATGGCTTCGCATTTTCTGATTGTTTCAAAATCAACCAGAAGCTCTGAGACAGAAGGAAATTGCTGAGATAGCTCTTGTTTTCCTTTAGAGATTCCAAGTTCATGGAACGGACTCAGAAGCTGCCAGGCACTCAACCTTTGGAAGTGCTGGAAGCTGTCTACAAGAGCTTAGTGACGGATCGGCCTAAATCATGGGCTGACTGTGTGGCCTGGGCATGCAACCACTGGCACACCCAGTACAGCAACAACATTCGTCAGCTGCTGCACAATTTCCCCCCAAACCAGGTATATTGCTGAAAATTGTAATGTCATAGCAACAGTACCTTCTTCCAGTAACAAAGCAGTAAATTTGCTGCTGTCCTTTTTAAAGCACTCCCTCTGTTTCTCTTTCAGAAAACTAATTCAGGAACCCTATTCTGGTCAGGTCCAAAGCGATGCCCTCACCCACTCACCTTTGATGTCAACAATGTAAGTACCAGGATGGGCGGATGAATGTTGAAAGGTTGGAGTACTAGCATTGCTAATTAGTATTTGTGGGAAAACATGGTTCTTGCTCTGTTTGCTGGAGTTTAGAAGCTAATTAATATGTCAGCTGCATTCAGTTCTACTATCTATATGTCTTCTCAAAAAGTTTGGACAGCTGGAGAAGATTGACTGGAAGGGAAGCAGTTGTGGTTTAGTTAACCAGCAGGACCTTTGGATGTTGAGTTTTGAAAAAGGATTGCGAATGGAAAGGTTGGGCACTGAGGATAAAGCCCTTAGTTGGGCAAACTCCTCTACAAAGCGTTTTTTCTTAAAACAGCAAATGGATTAATAGTAGGATTTAGCTGTGTGTCTCTGACAAAGAGTGATGGCTGTTTGAATAGGTGGGTATAGGTGGGTAAGAGAATCAAGACGAGATTTATGAATGACTTCTGTTTCTCTGGGTAACAGATATGAAAGTGAAGTTAGTATAGCCAGAATCAGTGCCTTCAGGAGCCTTCCAAGTTTGGATTTCTTTCATGTATTTGTAGAAGTAAACTGACCCTCCAGAAATTGTTGGACTGAAACTTCCAGCATTCTTCATTATTGACTGTGCTGACTAAAATTTAATTAGAATTGCAGCTCTAGACCAAAATAAAATAAGGAGAAGGCTATACAGAAGAGATGTAAGGATGGTAGATCCATTTAAATCAGAATCCTGTGATAAAGAACCTGCCATTTTAGAAAGTAAAGTGAAAGTGGTTCTCAATGCACTTGGAAGAAATAAATCACCAGGAATACATGGAATGCTAATAGAAATGTTTCAAGTTACATAGACAGAATCTATCAAAATCTCAACAAGAATATGCTAACAAGTATAGAAAACACAACAATGACTCACAGACTAGAAATGTTCAATATTCATTCCAGTCCCTAAGAAAGGAGGAACATTGCACTCAATTTCCCATACAAGCAAAATGATGCTTGGGATGTTGCAACAAAGACTTTTTCCATATATCATGCATGAAATACCCAATGTTCAAGCTAGATTCCAAAATGCTCAGTGGTTTAGGTATCTGGTTGCGGAGCCAGAGGTTGGAAGTTCGATTCCCCTCTTTGTCAAGGGCTGGACCTGATGACCCGTAGGGTCTCTTCCAACAATGCAGTTCTAAGTTTATAAAAAAAGAAAGAAGTGCTAGAGATGATGTTGCAAATGTACATGGACTACTGGAGCATATCAAAGAATTTTAGAAGTTTATCAGTCTCTGCTTTATAGACTACAGCAGTGGTTCTTAACCTGTGGAGCATGAAAGAGGGGTACTTTAGCACTTGATTGTCCTGATGTGTAATCTGTATTGTAAACAAGAAGCTGCTGTTAGTACACAAGAAGGAGAAACAAAATGGTTTCCGCAAAGTTTTTGATAGTGTGGAGCATGAAAGGGGGATACTTTAGCACTTGATTGTCCTGACGTGTAATCTATATTGTAAACAAGAGGCTGCTGTTATTACACAAGAAGGAGAAACAAAATGGTTTCCCACAGACAGAGGTGTCAAAGAAGAGTGTGTTTGTTCTCTGTATCTGATCAATCTACATGCAGAATATATTGTAAAAAAGCTAGATTAAATTCAGATGAATGAAGAAAAATATATCAGTAAGCTCAGATAAGCAGATAATATCATTTTACGGGTAGAAAGTAGCAAGGATTTGAAATGATTCCTTATGAAGGTTAAAGAAAAAGTGCAAAAGTAGAACTGCAGTTGAATAGGGGTATTCCACTGAGATTATTTGAACTGCAAATCCCACAATGTTTCATTCATGAGAATTTCACCTGACACACCTGTCTAAATCCATCCTGGCTTCCTGTTAGAAAAGGAAACTGCCCTGGTGCTATCCTGGGCCATGAAGCCTGCCCCACAGGATGTTGTTGCTTTTTTTCCCATATGAGCCGTGTGTAGGTGTGGGTCTGTCAGGTGGAACTTTCAGAATGGAGAATTACAGGATTTGTAGTCCTTAAAAAAACCTATTGGCACACCCCTACAGTTCAGTGTTAAATAAACAAAAATATTTAATGTAGAACAACAAATATTTAATGTAGAACAACATCTGGTGAAACCGAAATTGTTAGTGACTTTGGGTACTCAGCTTGTATTATCAGCAGTACAAATGAAGACAGCAGCCAAGAAATCAGAAGACTGAGGCTGAAAGGGGCAACTTTGAAGAAAGTACAAATGATTGTCTAATGGAAATGTGTGTCACTACAAACCAAGACAAAAGTCATCCACATTGTTGTATTCCCGATTACCGCTGTAAAAGCTTGACAGTGAAGAAAGCTGACAAGGAAAAAAGTTTAGCTTGAAATATGGTGCTGAAGGAGAGCTTTATGTGTAGCATGGACTGCCAGAAGGCCAAACAAGTGGGTCCTAGATCAAGTCAAGCTTGAACCCTCTTTCGAAGCAAAAAAATGATCAAATCCAGGCTGTTGTATTTTCATCACATGAGAAGACAAGACTGGAAAAGGCAGTAATGCTGGGAAAACCTGACTGTAGCAGGAAGAGAGGAAGACCAGATATAAGATGGATTGACTCATTAAAGGAAGCCGTAGCCTTGAGTTTGCAAGACCTGAGCAGGGCTATTGTGGAAAGGACATTTTGGATATCATAGGGTCGCTGTAAGTGGGAACGGACTTTGCAAAACAACTGGAGGGCTGAGTTTTGCGTAACATTTCCAGGTTTATAAAGAGAAGATTCAGAATTGTGATGAAAGCATGTCTATATGTGCATGGGGGCATCATGTACAATATCTGTGTTCACCAAGGAAGTATTTGCTGTCCTAATTGCTGATGTTTACTTCCACAGCCCTTGCACATGGACTATGTGGTGGCAGCAGCAAACTTGTTTGCACAGACATATGGCATTGCAGGCACTCGAGACAGGGCAACCATAGCAGAGCTCCTTCGTCAAGTGCAGGTTCCAGAGTTCACTCCGAAGTCCGGTGTTCGCATCCACATCTCTGACCAGGAGTTGCAGAATGCCAATGCCTCAGTTGGTAATACCTGCTAGAATTGGGAATCAGGGCTGGGGCTGCAGAGGAGAGATCTCTGTCATAGGGAACTTGGGGTACATGGTAGAATAGGGTAAGGATAGAACCTTACCCCCCCCCAAGTCCCCAGAGAATTAGAGAAGCCATGCCTCAACACCTTTTCGTATAGAATTTTTTCCACATTGTTCATTTGGATTCTAAATTTGATTCTTAATCTCAAAAGGATATCTGTATATTTTCCCAAAATACTATTAGTATATCTTAGGATTTGAAGCTATTCTATCAACCTTGCAAACACTGGTACAGTAGTACATTAGCTACTAAACATGTTCTACTGGGGGCCCAGTATGCCTTAAAATCTCACTGCCTTTGGATTTGCAGTGGGTAGCCCAAGCTGCAGAGAGGAGAGTGGCTTGGGATCATAGTTAACTTTCCCAGGACTCATTTGTTTGTTTCCACAGATGATAGCCGGCTGGAGGAGCTCAAATCCTTACTTCCAGGACCCCAGCAGCTTCAAGATTTCAGGATGTTTCCTGTTGATTTTGAAAAGGTAAGTTTCCTCTTCTCTATTAAGGGATAAGCCTTGGGTCTACCCTCATTATAGCACTGCCAAGTGAAACTGACCCCAAACTGCACCTGAATGTTCTTGGAAGGGGCCTTTGTTCTGTAATCTGAAGCTGTAGGATTTTCTGTGCCAAGAGGAATCTTGGGAAGAATATTGTACTGTGGGAATACTGCTAGATGTAACTATCATTTTGCTTGCATTAAATTTAAGGATGATGACACGAATTTCCACATGGATTTCATTGTGGCTGCATCCAATTTGCGAGCAGAGAACTATGATATTCCTCCTGCTGATCGGCACAAGGTAGGCATGTCCTCTAGTGGCTGGGACTGTTTTGTGGGATGAGGGGAACATGGGAATGCTTCATGCAAGCAGACTTACACTTTTTTTCCCCTGTCAGAGCAAGCTGATTGCAGGGAAAATCATACCAGCTATTGCCACGACGACAGGAGCTGTAGTAGGTTTGGTGTGTCTGGAGCTGTACAAAGTAGTACAAGGTCACAAGCGGCTGGAGTCCTACAAGAATGGTTTCCTCAATTTGGCATTGCCCTTTTTTGGCTTCTCTGAGCCAATTTCTTGCCCCAAGAACAAAGTAAGTGTGGCGACACCCTGGTCTTTGCATCCTTTCTTGCTCTTACCTGCCAGCAAGCAGGGGTAGACTTACAGTATCTGCACTGCATTCTGTGTCTCCTCCTTTGGGTGGAGTGACCAGCACTTGTCCATTGAACAAAAAATGAGAGAATTGCTAAACACTTGGGCACATTTCCCCTTTTTGGAGGTAGGAAGGGAGGAAAAGACAGATGTCTATCCATGCCTCTCATTACTAGGGCAGGGAATTCTCAAGAGACCTTGTCTCGTTCTCTAAAAACAGGAATATTTTTAGATATGTCTTCTGTGACCCCTTTCCATTTCCCCCACCCCCTTTGTGCATGTTCTGCCTGCTTCTGCTATTCCTGCTCATTGGAGAAGGGTGTTTCTGTTCCTTTCTCTTCTCTGTGACCCAGTGCTAGATGGGGCTGGAGCTTTGGAAACTATGTTGAGAGCACTGTGCATGAGTGCATAGGCACACACATTTTAGAAATGAGATGTAGCCAATGCTGCCATTAGTTCTGCAGCTCCTTCTTGTCTAAAATGAAGGGAGCCTGCCTGTATATGTTAACATCATTTATGTAATGTTTTTGTTTTGGTTTCCTAGTATTATAACACTGAATGGACTCTATGGGACCGCTTTGAAGTGCAGGGTATCCAGGCTGATGGACAAGAGATGACTCTGCGAGAGTTTCTGGCCTACTTCAAGGTAAGAGCAGAGGAAGCCCAAGCTTTTGAGTGCCAGAGAGACTTAGAGGCTTCTTAATACAGACAAAGCACCTTTTGAGTGATTTCCTTTCCTTTCCACAGAAAGAGCACAAGCTGGAGATAACCATGCTCTCCCAGGGAGTCTCTATGCTCTACTCATTCTTCATGCAGCCTGCAAAGCTGAAGGAGCGCCACGATCAACCGTATGTTTTCATTTGGGAGGATTTTGCAGTAGGGCAGGTGAACTTCAGCAAGCCCTGCTTGTCTCTGACCACTCTTCTTTTCCCCTCCAGGATGACTGAGATTGTCACCAAAGTTTCAAAGAAGAAGATAGGTCGCCACGTGAAAGCCCTGGTCTTTGAGCTGTGCTGCAACGACGACAGTGGGGATGACACAGAGGTGCCCTACGTGCGCTACACCATCCGCTAGCAGCTCCCTTGCTAGTACCACCCACCTGCCTGCCACGGACTGTTAGTGTGGGGGAGGGCCTGCTTCCCTCCTCCACCTGTCACGGTTAAAGTGACTCAAAACATGAATAACTTTTTTGTACCCTTTTAGGATTTTTTTTCTTCCGGTTTTTGTGTCCATCAGGGCCTGGGAAACCCTCTGCTTCCGTGGCCCATCCCCGCCCCCCCTTTAGACCCTGCGGTTATGTCATGTTATTGAGGCGCCTTAACCCACACTCCCTATCCTGTCCTTTCCTGTTAATGTTAGTCGTGTTGTGTTTTGGCTCCTGCACCAGCTCCCTTCCCCCTCCATCACTCCCTGCTGTGAAAGGAGACTGCTCCCTCTCTTATCCTATCCTGGGGGATGGAGTTGTAACATGAAGTGCTCCCTTGTCTCTTCTGAGCACCTGGAGGCTTTACCTTGGCTGGCTGAGGGAGGGAGGGAGGATGTGAATGGGTGAAGACTGAAGGTCAGAACTGGTAAGAGAAGTAAATGAGTCAATAAACGTTTGCAAAAGCCAGTAGTCTTCTATTGTTCAAACAAGGACCCAGAGGAAGAGGGCAGTCCTGTACAAGCAGTGTAGAACCTTGATCTTTCTTCAGAGGTCTGGCGTTCTTCAGTTGCTTCTAAAGGCAGCAGTGAGTGCTCCCCACCCTTTTTATTTGTTTGTGTCTGTCCTTAGAAGGAAGACTGATAAGTGCTGATCCGTGTTGATGCAGGTGCATAGTCCAGAAAAAAAAGGGCCTTGCCTCCTTTGTGTGCAGCACTATCTCTAGATTCTCGTTGTTCGTTGCCACTGGTTCTTTAACTTCACAGATATCTTAGTAAACAAAAACAGAGTTTTCATTAACAGTCCACCATAAGATAGCACTCCAGAAATGTGGCTCACAATGAAGATTTAATTATTTAAAAGTTATAACAAGCAAAATATGAGTTGTTCTTAATCATGCTGTGGGATATAGTGTGTAGGGCACATTAAACTAATACAGTATGCAAACTTCTATGGGCTTTATAGCATCTTTTAGTTTGAAGTTTGCTGAATTTTCAGTTTATACTTTTGGGGTGGGGCTTAAACAAAAACATGTGGTTTCAGCTCTTTTGAAGCCAGGATTTTCACTTCACTTCTCCTTTCCTCTGAATATACAGAAATACAGTTCTGTCTAAACCAATATAAATGTTGATTGGCTAATATGGTCCTTTCTTTACAACCAGTGTTTCTTGAAATAGCTTGAGCAGCTTGTAAAAATAAGGGTATATAACAAGCCATCAATTATTTTTGTTAAGACTTGCTGCTCTTGTTACTAGCAGGATTCTGTTTCAAGTATGAAAGCTGTAGTTTCCTGGATTCCAGACTGAACTGAAAGTTCCAGATGAGATGCCATGCATAAACCACCCCACCCCTTGTCAACAAAGAGCTGCAGTAGAAATGGTGTGTGTGCCAAGTTTGGAAGTCTTGAAAAACATCAAATTGCCTGAGCATTTGGCAGGAAAAATATACTTCCTGCTCTAGGTGTCGTGTTGGGGAAATGAGACAGCGGACAGGAGAGACCCACTACTGAAAACAAAAGAGGCTTTCTTCACAAGTTTGTAACAGGTCAAGAAAATGTTGGAATCATCTGTTGAGACACTTAGAGAAGGAAAATTATCTGGTACTTAAATAAAGGGTTAAAGATCTGCAGCATGAATTTAGAAACAATGGCACCAATCCCATTTAACATGATAGTCGCTAAGTGCAAACTGTGGAGGCTTCCCAGGAACAAGAGGACACCATTTGTCTTTGACAATTTACCTGAAACTGTGGAGGCTTCCCAGGAACAAGAGTAGGACACCATTTGTCTTTGACAATTTACCTCAAGGATGATGAGTTTGTAGTCATCAAGATGTCGGATTGCAACTCCTTTTACACAAGAAACTGTTTTGAATTGCCACCCCAATATACTTCTGGGGGGGGACTGAGGAAGACGGGTCTTCCATGAAGATCTCAAAGCCTAGGTAGGCTGGCTTTGTGGAAAGTAGCCTGAAACCCAATAACTTAATTGTCCATTAGATATGGGGATATTCATATACAAATACAAATATCCCCACAGGTGGTGTTAGGAAGGGTCCAGCCCATGGGGTCAGACGGTCCACTCACTGATCCAATGCGGACAGCGCAATTCTACCAATGGCTCTGCAGCGTGCGATCCACTCACCACTCCTCGACCTTGCAGCAAGGGTTGGCCTGCCAGGAGTGGCGAATGGATCGCACACTGCGGCGCAATCGGTAGAATCGCGTTGGGTTGGTGAGCGGACCGTCTGGCCCCGTGGGGCTGAACCCTCATTAATGTCACCTGTGTGGAGGTATTTGTATATGAATACAGTACCCCCATCTCTATTCATGATCAATAATTTGCATTGTACCTGGAAGGAGACCTGCAGCCAGCAAGGCTGTTCTGTTAGTGTGCTACTTTCAAAGTTGAGTAAGTTTTGTTCTGATTATGCAAAAGTCCTGTAGATAATAGTTGTTAATATTTTGGTTGAAACATGACAGCTTCATAATGAAATGGTGGGTTCATTACGTAGATATGGGATATTTCCAAAAGCTGGTAACACTAGTTAATACTGCAGCAGGTACATGATTGAGAATCAGTACTGTTTCCTGGTTGGAACAGTATATGATGAGAACCCATCTGGGAGGATTGTGACAGAGGACAAGGAGATAGCAAGTAATGCCTTTTGAGAGATAAATGGAACTGTGCTTCTCAACCACTGCAGACATTCCTTAGGTTCTTGATACTATCCCCACCACTACTAAAGGCACCTTCTACTGAATAAGTGGAACGGTTCATTAGAAAGACAGTAGGAGATAGTAATTCTATTTGAGGAACTTATAGCCTACAAATGTGCTATAGCTCCTTGAACTTCTAACGCAAATTCAGGGCTCTTAGCATAAGGATATCAAGAGGCAGACTTAACACCATGGTAGCAACAGTACTGATATACTGAAAGTTTTAGCTACCTGCCACAGTCCTAAACTGTTACGGCTGTAACACAGACAAAGATGTAACCCAATGGCAGAGTATATGCTTTTCATGCCATTGCTCCCATATTCAAGAATTCATAGGATTTCCAGATAGGGGTGCAAAAGAGTGTAGACCTGTATAGACTGAGGGTAAGCATCTCTGCAGCCAAAGATGGAGAAGCTCTATACAGTCAGCAAAAACAAGACCTGGAGCTGACTGCGGCTCTGATCATCAGCTTCTCATAGCAAAATTCAAGCTCAAACTGAAGAGAGTAGGAAAAAACACTGGGCTACTCAGGTATAATCTAAACCAAATCCCTTATGAATACACAGTGGAAGTAAAGAACAGATTTAAGGAACTC